GCTTCCTTTCCTCCCAGACCACAGTGTCATGGACGCTGTCATCCTTTTCAGCCCAGCAGCTGTCTCCAGGCTCCACCCAACAGCCTGTACTCTGCACCAGTCTGTGTACCGCCGTGTGGCACCACATTGTACCGGGAGTGCATACATCACTTCTCTCAACACCATTTCATAGACTGCTCTTTGGGACAGACTGCTTGGATTTACGTTCTACTTCTCACATCTCAAGATGGTGGTTTCCCCATCTTACCTTTGCACACTCCACCTACCATCAACGATGGGTACCTGAGAGTCCACCCTCTCTTTGAGCTTCTGGCTTCCAGTTCTCTGCAGGAATATCAAAGGCCAATTTTTTTTTTTTCCTTGAGACAGAGTCTCGCTCTGTCGCCCAGGCTGGAGTGCAGTGGAGTCATCTTTGCTCACTGCAACCTCCGTCTCCCAAGCTCAAGCAATTCTCTGCCTCATCCTCCCAAGTAGCTGGCATTACAGGTGCCCACCACCATGCCCAGCTAAGTTTTTTGTATTTTTAGTAGAGACAGGATTTCACCATCTTGGCCAGGCTGGTCTTGAACTCCTGACCTTGTGATCCACCTGCCTCAGCCTCCCAAAGTGCTGGGATTACAGGCATGAGCCACCGCACCTGACTCAAAGGCCAATTCTTATCAAAAGTATTAGCTTTCAGAACCGTCAGTGAAGCTCTAAGTGTGGATACCTATAAAGAAGTTTACAATATTGAAGAGTTCACTAAACACATCTACTTTTACCTTCAAGGTCAGAGGTGGCATGGCCTGATGGGGTCTTTTTTGCTGATACCTAAGACCGTTTTTGTGGTACAGGATGGGCTCACCAGGAAGGAATGAGTGGCACACTCTACATCATGGGTGAACCTCAAAAACTTGAGATACGGGAAGAAAGCCAGACACAACAGATCACATATTGTGTGATTCCTTTTCCATGAAAGACACTGAAAAAGCAAAGGGCAGAGAGTAGTTGCTTGAGGCTGGAGTGGGCGTAGAGAGGTACTGTGAGTGGCATGAGGGAGCTTATTGGGGGCATAAAAATGTCTTGACACTTATTTTTAGTGATGACTGCATCACTCAGTAAAGTTACTAAAATTCATTGAATTGGATACCTGAAATGGGTGAGTTTTATGAGATGTAAAATATGCATCATTGCAAATATACCTCAATATTTTCATATTTAAATATACTTTTTTGTTACAAACAAGAATGGGGCTCACGGTAGACATGGGAACTTACAAGTTTTAACTTGTAGTTTGGTTATAAGGGAACTGAGAAGTCTTAGTTATGGGAGAGGTACTAGAATTCCGGAGGTGACTTTAACTTCAGATTAGATTCTAGAATCAGTTTGTAAAATAGAGTCATTTATTAATTTGTATTTTGACAAAAAGTTCATTAACACCTTTCATAATATTCTATCTTGTGGAAAAAAGTTAGGAGGAACCTGACTGTGTATGTGGTATTACGACTTCAAAGGAGCTTGGTCTCTGTCTCTCTCAGAGGAAAGTTTTAATGTGCTCATAACTTATTATAGACCCTTTTCAGACATTTTGATTGTTTCCTACTTCTGATTTGCCAAATGCCACATTGACCATCTTTGATGCACTTATTAATGCCTTGAGATACCTCTTAGAAATTGAATTTTGGGGTCCATGGGGATGCACTCTCAATAGTTGTTTATTGTCCAGCTCCCAAAAATCTACCTGTGCCATCATGCAGGATTGGAGTGGTGTAGATTTACATTAAATGTGAGTCCAAAATGTGATCTGGCTGCAGGAATTTACATGATTGTGGGCTTAGTCACGGGATATATCCTGACTCTGCGATATGCAGATAATACCTGGGGTATTGGTTTTTATCCTGGGTACCAGGCATTCAGAGAGGCTGGCTACCTAACTGTGTGCTGAGGCAATGGCCAAGATGGGACCCTGCGTGTTACGAGAGATAATTGAGGTACGCAAGGGATAGGTGCCTGTGAGAAGTCTGGAAACCCTGTGATTAACTTTCTTCAAGTAGTTGAAGAGCTGCCCTGTCAAGAGAGATTCCGTTCACTTTGTATGATTGTAAGGGCAGAATCAGCAGCAATGGTTGGAAGTTCCCGGAAGGCAAGCTTTGGTGTAATGTAAGCAAGCCTTGTCTAACAGAACAGTCCGAAAATAGATTGGGTCCCCTCAGGAAACAGTGACTCCTCTTCCCTCGACATCCCTGGAGATGCTCCAGCAGGGACCACGTGTCATTTGGATGAAGAGGTGTGGCATGTGCATGCAGGGAATTTATCATAAGTGTTTGATTTGGAGACCTCTGGGGAAATGACTATGAGACTGTGAATTTGACATCACAGCTCTGATTATGACAGTCTACTGCGAAGCCAGATGAAAATATTCTGACCCGGTGCTGTGGCTCACGCCTGTCATCCCAGCACTTTGGGAGGCTGAGGTGGGCGGATCACCTGAGGTCAGGAGCTTGGGACCAGCCTGGCCAACATGATGAAACCCTGTCTCTATTAAAAATACAGAAATTAGCTGGGCATGGTGACATGTGCCTGGAATCCCAGCTACTCTGGAGGCTGAGGCAGGAAAATCGCTTGAACCCGGGAGGCGGAGGTTTCAGTGAGCTGAGATCTCCTCCAGCCTGGGCAACAGAGTGAGACTCCGTCTCAAAAAAAAGTTTAAAACAAGAAAATATTCTTTTTGCAAACACCAGTCTTTGAATTGTGTCTTAGAACAAGAAAGTAACTCTTGAACCTTCTAATCTTATACTTGCTACACTCAGATCATTGTTGATAAGCGTTTCTGTTTCAGCTGATCTTTGACATTCAGTTCAGTTGTTGGCGTAGCTGTGTGAGGAGGTGGGCTTTCTCGCTTGTTTTTGTTTTCCTTGTATCTTTTGCTGTTTTCCAACCATGGGTCTCAGATTTTAACATTCTCCCAAATGGTCAAGATAAAGAGTTGGTTTTCACATACTCATCATTTATGTAGGCTTTTTTATCTTTTTTTCCTTCTTCTTTTCTTTTTTGTAGAGACGAGGTCTCGCTATGTTGCTTAGGCTGGTCTTGAACTCCTGGGCTCAAGCAGTCCTCCCACCTCTGCCTTCAGAAGTGCTGGGATTATAGATGTGAGCCCCATCCCTGGCCTATCTTTTTTTTTTTAATTTGAATATTGTTTTCAACTTATTAAAAGCTGAACTGTACTTGCAATGTTTCTGAATATTGCCTATGTTATAACATTGTTAACTTTTCCATTTAAGAAATAATTCATGTTTTAATTATGTCTTTAATTTTTTAGCTTATATTTTCCTTGTTCTGGTATTGATACATTGAGATGAGAAAAAATAACAAGAAAGATGACAAACAAAATCCATAAGAATCTGTAAGAAAAATGCTCGTCTAACTTTAATGTTTCTTAAGTACAGCTGATAAAATAATAGCCTGACCTCTCACCCTGCATAGCGTGATCTGGCAGACCGCAGAAGGGCCCCTGGGAGCGGGTTGGAAATGCAGTCTCCAGCTCCTCCCCAGGGCCACTGCATCAGGACCTGCATTTGAAAAGTTGAGCTTCCTCTCCGGTGGCATGCTGCAGAACCTATGGGTCATAGTCATCGTCGCACCTTTTTGATTTTGGTTTTTTAGCAGCCATGAAAAAGTACCTGGCATTGTGCCTGGGTTTTTTTTGTTGTTGTTTTTTGTTTTTTTTTCTACAGGCATGAGCCCATTTAATCCCTAGGACAACCCTCTAAAGGAAGTGTTATTAGAGGCTCAGAAAAGTTGTCACTGGGCTTGCCAAAGGTGTCACTGAATGATGCTTTCTGGAGTCTGCGTGTCCAAAGCCTGAGACAGGAAAATTGAGGTGCAGCTCCAACTTGCACACCCTTTGCTTCCCGTGGCCAGCGGGATGCCTTGGGAGAACTGCAGAGGCTGCATTAGCCCCGGCAGTGGGAGGCAGCTCCGTCCCCAGCCTCTGACCATTCACGGTCCACTTGCGGCCTGGTATAAAGGCACCAGGACGAAGTCAATCCTGACAAACCCTAGGAGGCCGCACATCTCATCCGTAAGCAGGGCTTCCGTAAGCAGGGCTTCCGGAAGCGTTGATTAGAAAAGAAGTTTAGAGGCCCAGACACTCACACTTCTCAGGGGTCACCTACAACCACATAGGCTATGGGTGTATAGCTTCCTTTTTTTTTTTTTTTTTTTGAAGGAAATCATTTGAAAGAATAGATATTTATTAGAAACCAGGTTTGATCTGTTTCTGACGCTTTTATGACATACTGTTTTCTTGGATTCTACGTGACAGGGGAAATAAAGTCGATGCTGAGCAGTGATCTTCAATCATTAAATAATATTTCTGTTTTCCTGCATAATTTCCTCTTGTGTTCTTAGATAAGAATAAACCTGTTCTTGTCATACTGTTTGCACATCTGAAAATGACAACCTATTTGCCAGTAGTAAACTCACAGCTTGGAAAATGATAGGATCCCAAGTTTCCCCAAAAATGTGAGGTACTATCAACCAGGCTGGGGAAAAAAAAGAAATACAGAGGTTATCATTATATTTATATAAAAACATGCCACTTAGCAAAAGAAATGCTGAGAAAGCAAAATTAGTGAAATAATTAGGATCAATTTATGTACATTCATCTACCTACTTTGCACTTGGATTGAAGTCCTAGATTGGATCTTTAAAGGAGGGAACATTCTAGAACCCACCATCCCCTCCTGTTACTGTCACAAGATTTTTTTCCTTCATTCTTTTAAAATCAGGGCCACATTTCAACTCCCTGCCCACTGCCATTTGATGATATTTTTGTTTCTCTTTAGGTATCATCCTATTTTCTTTTTCTTTACCACTGACATCAGTTTATTTCATATGAATGCGTAATATATTAAATACATATGCGTTTAAAATATTGTTTTGATTTGTTTGCGAATTGTTTCTCTTAAAGGGTCTATCTGGGGAAATGAGTAATTTTTCATATCCTGTTCTTGCAGGAAGAATTTTAAATCGTTTCTCCAAAGACATTGGACACTTGGATGATTTACTGCCACTGACGGTTTTAGATTTCATCCAGGTAACGTTTTGAGAGTAACATCAGGATCTCAAATGGAAAACGGAAGTTCCTATTTTTTTAAGCCCTTTTCATGGGGGCTGGGGGTGGGACTCTCGGCCTGGCTGTGTGTAATGTTAACTTAATAAAAGGCCATGTTTGTAAAAGAAAGGTGCGGTTATAATTCAGAGGCTAAGTTGGCGTGAGTAATACCTTGTGTGTGGGAGTGGCTATACAGTCTTGTCGGGGTTAGTTTGAAGCAGCTTCATGCTTGGTAAGTGGCTCTCTGTCTGCCTCTAGGTATCTGGCATGGATTGTGCTTTACTGTGAACACATTTCATAATATAGAAACAATCACCTCTCACGGAAAGATAGCCTAGATTAACTAAATTATGCATTGTATTACCACAAAGGCAAATACTTAGGCACTTTTTTTTTTTTTGGATAGAACCAGGTGTGGTTACTTACAAAGAAAAGATTAGTAATAATAAGGTGAAAATAATACTTTATTAACAAGGACAATAGAGAGCAGTTATTGCGGATACAAAGCCTTTAAAGGCAAGGGTATCTAAGCCAATTTGAGTACAGGATCAAAGTCAACTCAGAAAATGTCTTTTTTGTTTTCACACGTTGATTGCTCTAAGTCTTAAGCTGTCTTTAAAAAGGAAAAACCAACAATCCTACAGAAATACCTTCTGTAAAGCGTTTCTTTTGTTTGTGAACTTGAGGCTCTAAAGAATAATGCTGGGTCATCTCCTCTCTCATCTCCTTATTCAGTACTCTTGCTCATGTGGTTTGGTTTTACTTTATTTTTTCCTGTTGTTTAATTTTGTCTGCTTGTCAGTGGTTCAAGCTGGGGCACTTTTTTTTTTTCCCCCAAGTGTTTATTTTGGAAATGCATCTATTAAAAGCTATACATATTCCAAAATCTCAGCTGCTGTGGCTAACACTTTATGAAATTTGAACCTCTTTGAGTTTTTCTAAGTGCCAACTTACAGTAGTTCTAATCATTAGGTGAATTTAAGGCCATTAAGTAGAAATACTACAGGTGGGGTCTGCAATTTTGGCTTGATCCTGTGGTCCCCCTACCCCTGCTTTTTTCTCAATGCTCAGATGCTTTAGATCTCCTCTGGAGCCACTGTTGTAAAAGGAACCAAAATTACTTAATTTGGAAAATTAGCTTTGTAAGAAAAGCCAGTCACAGGCTTGAAATGCTTATAGGAATTCCTGTTTGTCACACAGCAAGGCAGCAAAGGAGCATGTGACTGCAAACAGCATAGCCCGTGGGCGAAGGCATCCACTGTTTACTGAGGCGAAGTAAGCTGAGACTCACAGGTGGATTATTTTTACTGCAAACAAGGACCTCTGATTTTTTTTTTCTTTTGCAAACATTTTTAAAATGTGCCCTCCTGGGTTTAGCTATATTATTTATCCCTCAGACGCCGTCACTAGAACAGTTGCCTGGTTTTCACAGAATGCAGATGATTGTCTGTACACGTTTTGACAGGGATTGTTAATTACTTCGAGAAGATTTTGTGAAAGGTTCTGTTTCTTTGCAACTGCAAGCTAGGCAGAGGTTGAGTTTCCGAAGCTGGCTGGCCCACTATGTGCTTAGCAGAGTGAGCGGTCATAATTAGAATCCCTCGTGTGCTTTGTCTCACATATGGAGGCAGAGGAATGGATGCTACTTGATGTCAATGTAAAACATTTCTTAGCAGCATGAGGAGGGAAAATTCTAGTCTCGTTGTACTTCTATTTAACCAGAGAGACAAGGGCATTTTTTATTATCCACTCACATAACCTTGGTAAACTTAACATTGTGGAATCTTACTGGCCCCAATTAGCTGATTTCTTGAATCTACAGCAGAGGTTAAATCCTAATGTTATTGTCTCCAAGAAAGGAGTTTTATCTAAAGGATAACTCAGTTATCAATTATGATAAAGATCTATTGTCACTTGTTTTGTTTGCAGGTGTCTTTAATAAGGCCTCCCATAATCCCTTCAGGAAGAAATATTTTCTCCTTTTAAAAATAGTATTAGCTAAATATAAAAGCTCTGGTCCCTGCCATTGTTGTTGATTCTTTGAGGGACATTTCCCAACATTCATTGTTTAAATGGTTGTCAGGAGGAATCAAGTGAAACGTGGTAAACAATGCCGTAACTGGTTCATCTTACTTTGTGTGCCGAGCCTTTCTGCTGGGGATTTGCATTCGATGAGTGGGCTTTTGACTGAGGTATCGCCAGGATCATTTTGAAGTATTTGGGCCTGTTGCTATATTAGGAAGTGAAAATTTTTTATTAAAGCCACACACCCAAAAAAATGCATTTAACCTGCCCTCAAATAAAGGCCAACAAAAATCTAAATGTAATTTTTTTTTTTTTTAAGTTGCCTGGGCCTCTGTAAGGATGAAAGCAGCCCAGTGGTGTTCTGGGACTCTTAATGGAATCATGTAAACTTAAAATAAACACTATTATGGTAAGCACATAGAATGAAAACTAATTTTCCAAATCAAATACATTATATTCAATTCATTTTCCCCAATCAACCAAATGTTTAAAACCTGTTAGTTAGAACAGCAATCTTCTGGAAATTAATTAGAAGCCTATTAGCTCTGCTAGCTGAGCCGAATGAAGGGGGTTGCTCAGTACATTTCTAAGTAGTCTCCTGAATTAAAGCAAAGCAAGGTCAAAATGACAGTTAGCTTTGTTCACCTCATGGCTTTGCTTGAAGTCGTTGATCTTTTTGGGGGGAAGGAGGGGGGTATTTTGTTTTGCAAAGGAAATTTTGTCTACTCTAACTCAGTTCTGTGATAAATTTTTAAAATTAATTTCTAGTACCAGTCGGGTGAGCCATACAGGGAGCATGATCTTATCTGTGTAAATAGTAGCCTTCTCCATTGCGTGGGCATCTGAAATGAAGTTGACTTTTAGGCCTCTTGTCTACCGCATCAATTCTTCTACAGGATTTATTTAGCCCCTTTCAAAATTCAGATAGTAGGAAATTTCCTGGATGACTTTGTGTTTAATGTCATTAGCAAAACGTGCTTCGAACGTCAGGGCCCTGGGTTTTGATGGCTCTCATCAGGTTCAGTGGGTGATAATCACAGTGACTAGCAGTTCCTCCTACGCCCAGAGAAACTCACAGAAAGTGGGCCCTTAACCCAGCAGCTGAGATTGACTGAAACAATTGAGTTTTAAAAACTGGGAATTTCTTTGTCAAGATGTTACCCTTGGTGTTATCTAGCTGACTGATCGACGGGGGAACTATGTATCTTCAGTACCAACTACGGATGGTATTCCTGAGCCAGAAAGAACTTTGGCAGGATGTATAGTAACAAACAGAATGAAGATTAAAATCCACAGAAAAGTTAGGTATCTTCATGAAGAGGTAGTTGAAACTTTGCACTTACCAGAAGGTTCAGGCTAAGACTGCTGAGTTGTTATTCTTACTAAAGCTGAGATTTAAAATCAAATAGCTATAGAAATAAATAATGTAGTTGCATTTATCCATGTGACTTTTTTTTTTTGAGATGGTCTCACTCTGTTACCCAGGCTGGAGTGCAATGGTATGATCTCAGCTCACTGCAACCTTCGCCCCCACACCAGGTTCAAACGATTCTCATGCCTCAGCCTCTGAGTAGCTGTGATTACAGATGACCACCACCACTCTAAGCTCATTTTGTATTTTTAGTAGAGACAGGGTTTTGCCATGTTGCTCAGGCTGGTCTCGAACTCCTAACCTCAGGTGATCCACCCACCTCGGCCTCCCAAAGTGATGGGATTACAGGCGTAAGCCACTGCACCCGGCCTCATGTGACCTTTTTAATCCAGAGCATTCATGTTTGATTACGTTTTCTGTATGATGGTGATCATTTTATTGGTTTTATAAGTAGGAGTCTGGAACTGTAGACCATTGGGTCCAAACTGAACTGTTTCCAATTGAGTTTGCCAAAGACTGGAGGGGTAGATCTGAGAGGAGAACCCTCTGCTTGTGGCTCGATGTCTAGAATGTAGGCTCTGTAGAAGCAAGTCTGAAACCATGCACAGATTTTATTACTCCCCTGATGAAATTGCTAAGCTAAGGAAATTCTGGTTTACATGTGACCAGATTTGCTGGCCAGATAGAGGCAATTAACCTAACTTTGATTTTTGGACTTCAATAAAATATTTGTATTTGCGAGTTTTCATTTGTTTTTATATAGTTAGCTGTTGGCATTCATTGCCAATGGGGAACAGTGACACCAGTAATTTAAAAGTGGGTGTCATTTGCTGTCCTGTAGTAAGGGAAGAAACCCAGAGGGGTAGTGGGTACTGTGTCACTTTGGAACTCAGATTGGCTCAGGTGTGCAACAGTAGTGAATAAAGAAGGGTGAGATTTTTGATGAGGCCTTTTGAAAGGTAAGCCAGAATTAAGGGAAGTTTTTGAATATATCATAAGATATAAATATATCACTGGAAATAAATAACTTACAGAATACAAATGAACAGTCTGCAAGTTACCTCAGGGTTGCCATGGGCTAATCAGATAATTTAGCCAAGGCTGGCAGTGCGTATCTGGCTTATAAAGGGTTGTTCAAACATGTTTTTCTTGTTTGCTTTTTCAAAAATTGTAACAGCTTTGAACATCTACAATATTTCTAAAGCCAAGTCATTTATGAACATAGAATGGCTCTTCACAGGTTAAAACTGAATATCTTGTTTTCATAAAGGATTGAAATACAAATAGCATAAAGATCTTCATCTAGAACTCACATTCTTTGAATAGGAATTTGGCATTCAAACAGAATATGTTTGCATAAATCAACAAACAAAAACAGAGGTGATAGTCAACATTCACATTTTAAAGTGCTTGATTACTTCCTTTTTTTTTCCGGGGTTTTTTTTTTTTTTCTTTTTTCTTTTTTTTCTTTTGAGACAGAGTCTTGCTCTGTCGCCCAGGCTGGAGTGCAGTGGCGCAATCTCAGCTTGCTGCAGCCTCCACCTCCTGGGTTTAAGCAATTCTCATGCCTCAGCTTCCCGAGTAG